AAGTAGGCCATATGCTTATGCAGAGAAATACTAATTGACTCTGATGGGATTTTCAGTGCAAGGAAAGAGCAAAAAGAATATAAAGAAACAGTAGCCTTTATTTAAGGACACGCAGAAGTGTCCCATGACCAAAGACAGCTGGGCCACTTCTGATCAGGATGTAAGGTATGGGGATGTATATATAACCTCTGACTGGGGTTTGCACTTAGGGTGGGCATTGGTGATGCACAAGTAGCTGATTAGGACCTTTTGGCACCACAGGTAGAATGCAAAGCCAGTTGTCATAGGGGAAGATGGAAGTGACCTCAAGATAAACATCCCTTAGTCCTGCCTCTACTGCCATAATATACTATCTAGGGCAAAATCCTTTCAGACTCTTTTTCAACAGGGAAGGGGCAAACATCTTCCATAGCTTAAGAGTGCATTCCAAAGGCATAAGGGACTTTAGCATTGAGTTTCTCATGTATGTAATGCAAAAATTAAGGCAAAAGGGTATAAGGTCTTTTTTCAGAACCAGGAATCAAACTCAGGAACTTTTGCTGATCTTTGTCCCTAGCCATTTACTGCATGAAACTTTAATACTGAGCTATCTAGCTATGCAAAAAGGAGATAAATTAAGGTGTTCCATTTTATTCATACTTGATAAATGTCCTCAAGGTGTCCCTCAGGTTAATTCTGCTCCATGGCAGGTGGATGTCCTCTGGAGAGAGTAGAAGATAAATTCAGCCACTCCATCTACCCTTGGCCTGGTACACAATCTTATCTCCCTAGTTAGATAGTTCATGAACTTTGTTTCCATAGGAATGCTTAAAGAAGAAAGCATAGCTTTGTTTATTGGGACTTTGTTTATTGGGACTTTGTTCATTAAAGCTACTTTGTTTATTGGGAGAGATCATAATTTAAAAGGTGAGGTGGAAGACGAATGGTTTCGGGTTGTAAAGTAACTTTCCTCTAGAGATAGGTAGAATAATTCACTGAAGAAGCTTTGCCCCATGAACTAGGACAAAGAAGTTTCCAGACATTTGTCTCCCATTCAATTGTCTAGGTAACCTTTCCTAGTAACAGGACAAAGCTATATTTTATTAAAATTTTTAGATCTTTGAAGGTCACAGGTTAAATTTATCTATTGTCTAGCGATCACATTTCACCAGTCTTTGGGGCACACTGAAAAGAAAAGGCTATTTGCTCTCAGTTAACATATGTAAGGCACAATTCTAAGTCCTTCCCTGTTAGTTTCTTTTGAAATGTAAAAAGCTGTTGCTGGGTAATTTTGAGAGAGGTAGTCTAACTGCCTGAAAAGTTTAGGGAACAGTTTTAGCTTCCTAGCAGAAATATCTAATAGACAGGTAAGTGGAGGTTTTCTGTGGTTGGAGACCCAGGGACCACTGAGGAAACCTTGAGTGTCTTGGCCATGATCCCTGAGTTCTCAATTTGCATTAGCTCACACAACCAGAGGTCAGTCTTCAGAGGGAATCCAGATGTTTGGTTAACACTGCATTGGCCCCAGTGGCCACTGGCTTCAATGGGGATTCACCAAACTGATGCTGGGAAAACCTGTCATCCTCTTTTAGGAGTGACAGCTGTTATAACCACTGACTGTCAAAGTTATATAAGGGATAGTTAAAAGTCTGAGCAAGATCATTACTTAGTGCTCTATGAATTTACAATAAAGGTTTTAAAGTCCACAACTTGAAAGTTTGGAAAGCCTCCTTAGTTGAAAATGTGTTTAGGTCCCATACCTATGCTGCTGTTGAAGGTAAGCTTCTTCCATTCTCATGTGAAAGCTGGTTCTTCCCACTGTGTCTCAGGTTTGATTTCTGGAAAAGATCATAGCCCAGAATGTTAAGCAGGGACATGGCTCTTATGTATGCTCTCCTTGACAGACATGATTCCAATGTCTCTTCTGGCCCTGGGAAGAGGTATGTGTCCTTCATCTAAGGTGACTTCTTTATCTTCAGGTGTAGCAAACACTCATTTTCTATGGCTTAACTTAGAAGGAAAAGGTTGAAATAATCTAGAGTTCTCCCCAGTTTCACATGCTTCTCTAAGGAAAGAACAAAGTGGAAAATGAGTAGAGGTAAGTCAAAGGAAGGAAACTGAAGCAGAACAGGCTTGACATTTCCTCTAAAGTACAGAGGAGGATCAGAACCTGTCTGACTCAGTGAAATCTGTCCTCCAAGTCTTGAAGAATGGCCACCAGCCTAGTGCTTTTTTAAATGTGGAAGGAGTCCAATGTTTTATTTTCTAAGTATGACATGGATTTCATTTAAGGGAATCATTTTACAGAAGTTTACATTAAGTCTCTTAGGGATGTTCAATTATTATTATCTCTAGTGTGATAAGCTAAATACAGTCAAGCAAGGAATACTAGTAACTTTAGCAACTAATTAAATTTAACAAGTACAAGAGCAAAATAATTAAAATGTACCATTAAAAAATATCATAACCTTATAATTTTCCCATGTTTTATCCTAGACTTGCTAGTTTTACAAAACTATATGAGATAAAGCATCTATAAACACTGGGGAGACAGAATACAAAATTTGAAGCATAAAAATTTGTTACCTAAATGAGTCCCAGTCAGAACTATGAAACAAAAGCAAATTCTTGCCTTTGTTCAATGATCTCAGTGGAAGACCTCCAAATGATATAGGAGAATGAAACTCCCAACTTAGTATATATCTGGTATGGACTTGTGTTCTCTAAAATCAAAGAATGGATTTTAGGAACAGTGGGGTTAATAACAGAATATATTTATTGAAAGAAAGAAAGATTCTGTCATTGAGAGACAGAAAAGGTCCCAAGTGGGTTGCCAAAGATTGACTTTTTAGAGACTTTGATAGAGTAAAATCATGTGGTGAGCACAGTTCAAGGTGGGAAAACTGGGAAATCACCAGGTGGATGGGCATAAGATAGAACAGAATTATGGTTAACCAATAAGATTAATTGTTCAGTTAAAATTGATTACATCGGGGACAAATAGTGAAGCAGGTCATGTAGAAAGTGGGCAGTCTTAGGGAACAGAGAATCTGCACTAGGGGATTGGGATGGTGGTTCCTGACTTCCTCAGAGTGATAGAGAACTATTTAGAGTATCAGTCCTTAGGATATGGGTGCATTTGTTCCATCTTTGTCTTTGGCCTGGCCCACAGCAAGAGATATTTGTCTCCTCCACTGTTGCTAGGTATATGGGCTTCTGCACTGTCTCCTTTGAGAGCCCAGCCCTTTTGAAACTGATTTGTTAGATAGAGAATAGTGAATATTGTGGAGCTACAGAGAAGAAAATCCTAGGATGCTGTGAGCAAAAACTAATGAGGGATTCTGGCAGAGCTCAGAAGACCAAGTGCCAATAGGAAGGGAAGTCAGTCAATGCCCTCATGACAGAGTAACACAGGAGGCTCCTGCTTTTGAATGAAGTTGAATGTACAATGGAGACAGAAAAGTCAGAGGCACTCAGAACAGGGAACACAATCTAATGAAAGACTTGGGCAGATATATATGGAGACTGTCCAGGAAAGAAGCTACATAGTTCACAACCAGCAAAGCTATAACACTCCAATACTTTAGATCACAAATCTCATCATCATGTATCCTGCGTAGCAGCCATCAGGGTAAAGCTCTTAATATTTGCCATATTGTGGGCTAGGATTTAGGTCAGTGGCGCAAGAAGTTGCCTGGTAAGTGCAAGGTCATGAGTTTGATATCCAGAACTAAAAAAAAGATAATATTTGCCCTATTGAGTCAGGCTGGCTTTGGCCTGACTATTTCTCATCCTGATATTTCTCTCCCTGAAATGAAACTACTTACCTTAGACCACAGAACCACTGGATTACATAACATGATCTTTGTTTTAGAAAGGTTCAGAAATGGGAGCTTTTTGGAATGCAAGAGGCAGCTTTTACTTGCACTTTGAGCAATAGGGCATCTGTTGAGTCTTTGGGAAGAGACCATCAGATTTTCATGTCAGATTATTGTCAGACAACTGGTTATTGTCCATTTTGGGGAGATTCAGTATGATTTAAGGAGATTTGCTTTTAGTGCTGAACTACAAGTTCTAAATTAAGTTTAGTTGTCTGTTGTTTGTTTCATTAGCTGCCAAGATGATCAATAAAGCATACAGCTCAGTGTTTGTAGAAATATTCAGGAAGTGTGACCTGGGGTACTTTATCTGTTTCATGGCCCATAATGTTTATGACCCATTCCTCTGGCACTGCTCCCCTGCCTTGCTTGGGGGACAACAATAAGTAAGCAATGACATTCCAGCATACCCTTCACCCTTGATGCTTCTCTCTGGGACCTTTGCCAACCATGAACTGAATCTACTGAAACTGGGAGCCAAATAATCTCCTTTGAGCTATCAGGGTCCCGGCCCTTTGAATTTCTGCCTGTAATGACAAAGCTATCAAATACACCAACACAGTGTGCAAGTGTCAACCTAATGAATTAGAGGAAGAGAAATCACACCCTATTATGATAGATTTGCTTCTGTCAAATCAGAAAGAGGACTGATGTCAATGAAAGACCTACTCTGAATTAAAAATATATTCTCCATAATAAAATAGCATGAAACAAATGATCACAAATAAATTTCCTCACATAGCACATTTGGAAAGTAGCATTATATTTAGTACTTTAGAATTAATACCAAATATAGATTCTTTAGTGTGTAGTCAGATATTTTTATAAATGGTTACAGGAGAATTATAGTGACTATCTCTGAAATATGCATATATGATAACAATGAACTCATTTCTCTAAGTTTCAGCTTATGAAGCATTAAGATTTCATCCCAAATTTAACAAGTACAAAATAGATACAGGGAAAGTAAGAATTTTATGCGCATCTCCATTTTAGAACTTAACGTTGTCATCTCTCATTCTCATTTCCTTACCTGTCATTTGATAGACATTAAATTGTATGATTTCCTAAACTCTTTAGCCTTTAATCATGTAGTAATCTAAAATTTGACTAAAGTAAGTAGAGATTTTCTTATTCTAAAAGGTTGTATGGAGATATGATGGCAAGAAACCAGCCACTCTAGGACCCAACACTCTGCTGTACAAATGGATCCCTCAGAATGACCTGCTTGGTAAGACTGCAGAAAACAAATACTGACACATGAGTAACACACAGTGGAGAAGGTCACAGTCCTAGAGAAAACAGGTGTATTGAAATTAACTATGAATGGTGAAAAACATTCCTAATATTTCTACATTTATGTTCCAATCCTAGGACAAAATTGGATTAAGAACAACTATTGATATTTTATTACACAGTAACAGTATTTTAGGTTAAAAGAATTTTTCACTCAGTTCCCACCTTCTTTTATTTTGTGTATCTTGCACTTCACACCTATCCATTTGCCTATTGCACAGTTATTGCAAATTTGGCTGAAAACTAAAGATCTCTTTTATTACATCTGATTATTTTCATTAGAAAATATTCCAGGTCAAAAGGTGATAAAACACTTTTTATGAAAACTAAACTTTTCTTCCTGGGGTTGCAGAGCCCCAAAGACTCCCTGATTCCCAGCACACCTATGAAACTCAGGAACCTGGTTATGTCTGGGGCTCACATATTCTCCCATGACACTGCTTAGCTTTTTACATGGTGTTTCTTTCTTCTGGGGTATGTCCCTTCTTCCTACCTACCTTTCAACCTTGTTTGAGTTTATCAAGTCTCAATTCGCACACCACATTTTCCTTGCTATGCTCACTTCCCTTTTAGTGGACTGAGAACATTTAACGTAGATTGATACTTATAATTTATTACTTAAAAAACACTGTTTCAATGCCTTTTATTGTAATTTCTTATCTTATTTTTAAGACTGATAATTTTCTTTAAATTCTCCCTTTGTAGGTCACCCAAAAACTAAAGCTTTTGTAACTCATGGTGGAACCAATGGCATCTATGAAGCAATCCACCATGGCATCCCTATGGTGGGCATTCCTCTGTTTGGGGATCAGGCTGATAACATTGTCCACCTGAAGGCCAAAGGAGCAGCTGTTAGACTGAACTTCATCACAATGTCAAGTACAGATTTGGTAAATGCAGTGAATACAGTCATTAATGATCCTTCGTGAGTACAAATTTTATCTACTAGGCATTTTTATACATGAGTTATCATGACAATAAAAATAAAATTCACTCTAAATTTGAGTCTAATTGTAAAATCTCAAATTATTTACTGTTAACCATTGATTTTAAAACTACTAAAAAATAAGTTAATAAAGCTACCAACTGACCTACCGCTTGACCAGTAAATGGTAAAATAATTTTTAAAACATATTTTGAAATATTTGCTATGTACTGAAATTTAATAAATGGATTTTATTGATATCATACATTCCATAGGTGAAAATGATAACGAAGTTGAAGAATTATGGGAAAATCATTAAAATCAGTACCTAAATTTTCTGAAATTTTTCATTTTTTTCTTAATTTGTACACATTTTCGGCCACATATAACCTTTCCTCCCTGAAAGTTCAGGTTTTTGGTCTTTTGTCTTAGTGATGCTGGAGAATACAAGAATATTCTTGCTTCATCATATAATAAGATTATGCTGTATTCATTGTGCTGAAATTGGGCTGTTGTACTTACCATGAGGCTTTTTAGTTTTGTCCATGTTTTAATATGTATCACAGCTGATTTCTCTCTATGCTGAGTAGTATAATTTAACATGATATGTCATGTGCTATTTATCCATTTGCCACATTGTGAACTCTTTTTCATTTCCAATTTTGACTGTGATGAACACAACTATGTGTATTTTTATTTGAATATATGCTTTTCATCTTTTTGTATTTTTATTTTGCTTGTTTTTAAGTGTTTGTTGGGGTGGTTGGCTTTTGTCTTTTTTAGACAGGGTTTCACTATGAGGGTCAGACTCACCTTGCGCTCATTTTGTAGACCAGTCCGGCTTCACAATCAGTTACCCTCTTGCCTCAGCCTCCAAAGTGGGAAAACAGGCATGAGCCACCATGTCTGACCTTGCTTCTTTTGTACAGTTTCAAGAGGTAGAATTAATTCTTCATATGAGAATTTTATGTTAATGAGTAAAAGTCCACCTGTTTTCCAAATTTCAATGTTTTGCATTTACATTCTGAATGAGCAGTGGAGGAGGGTGCTAATTTTTCCACATCATTACTAAAATATTATTATCCAATTATACACTATAAGGAGGCTAAATGTGCCATCTTATTTTAACTTCAATTTTTATTTCACTTATGTATAGAAGTAATAACTAGTTCACACATAACTACTGATTCTTCATGTTTATTCTTTGGCAACATGACTATTTCAGCCTCAAAAATGTTTCCTAATTTAGTTTTTGGTCTACGTATTATTGCCTTCTAAGTGTTTTCTGTGTAATATAGATTGAAGTCCATCCTTAAATATAAGATTCACAAGTATTTTCTTCCATGCCAAATACATGGATTCATCCCTTTTCCATGATGCATTTGAAAGCCATGTTTTTAATTCAAATAAATTGTATCTTCAATAATCAAAATTCATATACTGCATCAGAAGAAATATTGTAAAATTTGCCATGCCTACCCTTTACAATATTAAGTCAGCATTATACGCATTTATCAACAATGTTATTATATAAAGGTTACATCATTACAGGAATTCTTTAATTATTCACTATCAAAAAAGAAAATAGTAACAAAATTTAATGTTAAAATATTTTTAAATTGTCAAGAAAGAATAAATATAACTCTCATTGGAAAAATAAGAGAAAATGTAGCATAAGATGTAGCATTAAATATATGTTCAATACTTAACATTAATCATAAACAGAATAAATTATTAAAAGACAAAGACTGTTAGCCTGAATTTTAAAAATTCACTGTCTATTTTGTTTGTAAAACATATGTAATGTAATTATCCAGATGAGTATGAGTAAAATGTCAAGTGCAAATTTTTTAAGTCATAATAATGCAACCTGTTGTAGCTTTATCAATGTTAAACATAATAGACCAAAATAATAAGTATAAAAATGAATATTTAATTCTAATTGAGTCATTTAATATAATACAATAATACAATACCTGCTAATTAAGCTTCAAAACGAAGCTTCCAAATGAGCAAGACAAAAAATATAGATATATGTCTACATTCCCAGTGGGGAGATTTTAAGTAGATTTATCAATAAAGATTTAAAAATGAAAAAAATAGGAACAAATCACATTAGAAAAAATCTAATGGACAAATGGAAACTAAGTGAAATAAATATCTCTGCCATAAAACTAATAAGTAAATTTGAAAAGATCCAAACTATAAAATGTATACTATTAGTATACTAAAATTATGCTGTGACAGAAAAAATTTTCAAAAATCTTCAAGTTTTGAGAATTAATCTGTCACATCCAGCACAACTCTTGAAGTCCCCAGAGGTAATGGTGGTGGGAAGAAGGAGGAAAAGACAAATGTCAGAATACTGAAAGCTGAGATCAGGTAGAACCTCCTCTCCTGATGGAACAGAAAAAGCACTGATTAATGATTTGCAGCATGTTTGTTTGGCTGGTTGATGTCACATGGTGCCCCTCTGCCTAGCAACCTGTTTGCATGGCCAACTTGGGGTGCATCATGCCCTTAGAGCTGGAACAGATTGTTCACATAGCTTGCCTCTTTTTTAAAAAACTTTCAAGGTAGGAAAATACAGTAGAACAAGACAGAACAAAGCCAATCAAGACAATGCAGCAAAATTGGTACAGGATTTCACAGCAAGTTACTGGGATAATGGCAATAGGTACCATAGTATGCCTCATTATTATCACAATAGTTGTCCTTTCAATCAGGTATTGCAAAATCAAACCTAACACAGAATATCATAAAACCTATTAAAACAGAGTATTGAATAGAGCAATATAATTAAGCAAGGCATAGCAAAACAGTGATAACAATATTTGCCTTCAAAGAGATGGTAGAAGGAACTCCCCCATATTTGCTATAATGCATATGATCATCCTCTGAAGAGATGCTCAGACCACTGGCTCCCATTTGCTAATGTGGGGGTGGGGGAGGATGGTATTTTTATTCTCAGCCTGCATGCTGGTAGACTCATGGCTGCTTCCAGGGAGGTGAGCAGGTTCCTTTGTTGCCCAGAGCCTAAGTTCCAACATGGAATGGATCTCTCCATCAAAATGCACATCTTGCAACTTTGCTGCATGGTGTGTAGCACACAGACATGCACCATAGACATCACCCACATGACTTGCTTCTTTGTTTTCTTTTGTAATTTTTTTTTATTTTTAAAGAGGGTAAAATTTAACATAACAAAACAGTTCATAAGATAACAATGTAAGAGACACAGATTTCAAAACAAGACAACCAGAGATCTTCACTGTCTATCATATTTTCTCTTGTTTTCTTCCAAATAGTTGGCCATAACTTCACATACAATGAATTCATATGAAACAAAATAGTATAGACCTGATCATTACAGGATGATAAGGCAGTTTAGGTCTTTAAGACCAGACAAAAAAGAAGTCAACAATGGCTGCCATAATGTCTTGCATTCTCTTCAAAATAGCTGTCAATACCTTCCTGTATGTTGAAATTAAACAAAACAACAAAGACTAAAATCACTCTGAAAAAAGAATAGTAGTATATCTGAATTTCACCTCATGACACTACTAAATCAGCACTGGGTTCCTTAGTGTCTCTTTTACTTCAAAGTAACTGTTCATTTCATCATGCATTATATTATTGATTCTCATAAACTTTTTAGAAGATAGACACATGCATCCTATTAAAGAGTTTTTGCATGTTGAAAGAAATCTCCTGCATAGCCAAAAGAAAACCCACAAATTGGGAAAAAAATCTTTGTGAACAATACTTGAGAAAAAGGCTTCTGTTTGGAATGTATAAAGAATTAAAAAACCAGATCCCCAAAATTCAAAGACCCATTTCAAAAATGGGCATCTAAGGTGAATACACAGTTCTCAGATGAAGAGGTATATATGAATAGGAGTCTCAAGATGTATACTTATCCTTTCTGTATTAGAGGGAAAAAGAGAACGAATCAATACAAAACAAAACAAATTCCTAGAAAAACATGGAATGAAAAAGACACATAAACAACAATACTAAAGAGCCCAGAACACTGACAGCGTATTCTGGGCTACCATCAAAACAAGGTAGTAGGAGCATAAGTAGGGTTGTTATTTTACAAAAGGATCTTCAAGAGGTCCTCAGCTCACTATACAATAATATGCACAATTGTTCCAATCCTATGAATGTTAATTATTTTGTTCCAAGAACTTACAGAGTTTGTAATGTAATCATCTTAGCTATCCTAAGTGTTTGTATAGACTTAGACATTTTATCGTTCCCTTCCTTTTGAAGAAAATATTTCCTCATTTTCCCGAAATATTATTTTTCTCTTTTAAGGAGATTCTTATTTTTTCACTGCAATTATGGAGTTTTTTGTATCTTATCTACCATTTATGTACCATCTTACCATTTCTTACACTAGGGAGATTATATACTATTTACACATGTGAGTTTGATTTATTTCAATTATGAGTATAGTCTCGAGTTGCATTTATTTACTTATAAATATCTCAATGTGATCATTCTTTATAGAAAAGTAGTACTCCATTGTATAAAATATCACATCATTTTATCCATTCCTCAGTTGATGGGCATTTAGGTTGTTTCCAAGATCTGGCTATTACAAATTGTGATGCTATAAACATGTATGCACATATATCACTGTGGTATGATTTTTCAGTTCTTCTGGGAATATGACCAGAGGTGGGATAGCTGGCTCAAAAGAAAATTTCAATCCTAGCATTTGGAGGAACCTCCAGACTGACCTCCACAGTGATTGCACCAGTATACACACCAACATTGCTGAAGAGTTCATTTACCCCAAAACCTCTCCAGCATTGGTGTTGCTGGTAGATTTCTTTATCCTGGCCATTGTGTCTGGAGTGAGATGAAACCTCAGTGTTGTTTTATCTTGCATTTCTCTAATGACCAATGATGCTGAACATTTTTTTATGTATTTATTTGCCATTTGTATTTCTTCATCTGAGAACTGTGTATTCATCTCAGATGCCCATTTT